ATATATATATTGTGAGTAGGAATAGTGTTATCACTGCATCGGTGAGTGAAATACATTTATGTGTAAGTATGCAATTGTTGCTTGCCGAAAACTCTATTAGCCAGTCATTACCCCATCAAAAAGGGACCGTACATCAGTGCCTATATTCTCGATTGTTTTAATCGGGTTGTTTGGTTCAAACGTGTACAACAATTGTCATCAGCAAACAAGCAGGTTGTCACATGACGGATCACAATAAAAGTGCCACTGATAAATATGAGGCATAATAAAGAGCCCAACCCACTGCCTTGTATAACGCCACTGGTAACTGGTTTACTTTGGAACAGTATCCCATTAATACTAAACACCTGGTTACGAGAATCCAAGTGAGAAGCGAACCATGAACAAAGGGGTTCTAGAATACCATAAGACTTGGCCTTTGATAATGAACGACTGTGAGAAACTCGGTCGAAGGCCTTGGTCATATCCAAGTATACCGCAATAACTGATTTCCCATTGTTGGTAGCGATCGTGGAAAGATCCAGGAAGTCGGTCAAGCAAGTTGCGCACGAGCGATATTTCAAGAATCCATGTCGTTCTTTATTAATGAGATTATTGAAAGAAAGACACGAGTAGCGAACAAGCTCGTTATCGATAACTTTATCCACTGGCCAATACAGTTAAATATAGTTAGTGAATAAACGTGCAACAAATATTGTCAGAACGAAAATGCGTTGATTGGACGGTATGCAAGTGGTGAGGAGTGGTTGGGAAAGATGGTGCTGTCGGAGGGTTTTGGAGGGGTTTGAGGGTACCTTATAGATAATTTTGAACGCATCCTCAGTTATCTGATGTCCGGTATCTACGAGGTGCGCCGTGATTGCACTCGAAACGGTCCTTGTGGTTCCTGTGTTTAACCAAGCCGGTTTGTGTTCCTTGATTCTTTGAGAAAACTATCTGATCGTCCTACCTATGTAGCTTGCCGAACATGAGCAAACAAAAGAATAGGTCAACATGGAGGTAATTTATCTTTGAGATTGAATGACAATTGCTGATGAATTGTGTACGTAACCGAGCCGCAGGAAACGTTCAAGCGATCGACTTATCTAGGCGTCTTGTTAACAAATCGCATTTGTGGTCTCCTTCGAACGGGAGACGTATATAGATTTGCTTTTGGCTTACTGTAGTCACCGTTGTTCTTTCAGCTCTTTTACAGAGATTCTTTTCAAAAAAATCTCGGGATAGCCATTGTTCAATAGGGTTTGCTTGAGCCGCTTCAATTCTAACTCCAGGTTTTCTGCTGAACATATATTTCTGACGCGAGCAGCTACGGATCGGACGAGGTTTCGCTTGCGCCCCAGAGGTACAAAACTGGCGAAATGAGTGTGTTGACCTGTTCATGTGGGTTTCCTGTAGACTGCTCTACTAATTGTTCCGTCCGACCGCTTGGTAAGATGAACATCTAGAAAATGAAATGTGTTGGCCGTTTCCATTTCCGACGTAAAATGGAGCGCGTCATGAGCTTGGTTAAACGTGCTGATCAGGTTTTGCAACGGTATATTCTCGTCAGCTAATTTGAAAATATCGTCAACGTACCGGCAATAGAATGATAAACCTTCTATAATATCTCGGAGTTCCTGGTTTTCTAACTTTGCGACAAGAATGTCGGCCAAAAGTGGGCCCAGAGGTGATCCCATTGCAACTCCGTCCGTTTGCCTGTACAATTTTCCGTTGACGCTAAACTGAACGTTGAAGGTACAGCGTAGTAGTAACTCCTTCAAGTTAGCCAATGGAATATCGATGTTTATCTCGTTGACCATGATGTAGTCACATAAATAGTTTATTGCTTCCCCTAAAGGAACATTGGTGAACAAAGAGGTCACATATGATGATGCCATAGACAAACCAGTCGTGCTTCGTTCGCGTATAAGTTCCACAGATTGGAATGTATCCTTCAGACTGTAGTGTAAAATCTGTCTGTGAACAGGTTCCAAAACATCCACAAGCCATTGGGCAACCGCATGGTAAAGAGAAGCGCCCATGTCCAAAATTGGTCTTAGAGGTACTCCCGGTTTATGAACTTTAGGTAAACCGTAAAAACGAGGGATAGAGTTTCCTTTTGATCTCAGCTGTTCGTATCCTGCTTGAGAGATGGTATTCTGATCCCTCTGGGACTTAAGTGACGCAGTTATGTTCATTTTGTTATTCTTTCCTTCTACTTTTACGAATTTCGTCGTATCTCCTAAGATGTTATTCATCTTATCAACATAGTCCGCACGGTCCAACAGTACCACGCCGGAGCCTTTGTCAGGTTTCGCAATGACAACATTCTTGTTCAGCTTCAGTTTTCTTAGCGCCTCCTTGTGTTGGCTGCTTAGGATACTTTTGTGTGATTTATAAATCCGACGATACTGATAAGCACAGTCCACGAGTGAAGCTTTGAGATCATCAATTGCTTGCTGGTTTGTGGCGACTAAAGAGCTGGTTTGTGAATATAGATTTTCAAACTGAACTTCAACGTCTAGTTGATCATTGTTGCGAGATGGACAACGGAAATTCAATCTTAACGATGAGGCTTCCAATAGATGAGTATCCACAGGTAAATTAGAAAGATTGTGAACATACCGCTCTGGATTTGTAGGCAAATTGGTCCTCGGTTTCGCTTGGTCCACAGTCTCTTTCATTTTAACCCGTTTCATGTTAGCCCACTTGGCGCAAATGCGCTCAGCAAACTGCTCGAATAGGTTTCTTTCTTCGCTGATTAATTGGTCGAGGATATATCTTCGTTGCACTCCATTACGCTCTAATTGCTGCGAATTCATCCTTAGGGTATCCAGCTGGTTTCTCGTATGGCGTTTGAGCGATACTGAGGCCGGTCTGATTCGGGCGCGTCTTAGAGA